CAGGGCGCCGAAAAGTATGCAACCGAAAAGGAGAGCGAAAATAAACACCAAGAAGCAGTGGCACACATTTTGAATACATTTATTTGCACATTTAGAAATGCAAACAGCGGGAAAAAGACTGAAAAGCCGGTCGGGAAATGCCAAAATAAAGAACCCTTTTTCCCTGGCAGCCAAAGATGCAGAGAAAAGGATACTTCCGAGGGATACTTTCTCCCTACAGCATCCCCAGCTGGCAGCTTCAAAGTGAGTGAAATGTGTAACCCTTGCAATGATTTGTTAAATTACAAGCAAAGTTTTTCCAGTTACCCTGGCGAGGGGCGCTCCGAGTAATTAGTGAAAACCTTGGCTATGGCAATGAAAAATTACTTGAAATTGGGCGTGAAAATGGCTTCCAACGTAGCTGGAGGGTTAAAGACCTCTTTTTTTTCTCTTTCTGGGACGCCTGAAAAATTCCTGGAAAAGTCACATTAACTTGGCAGAGTACACTCCTGGTTTCATTAGCGTTCCGCTCTATCAAGATCATGTTCTCATTTTTTTTTCTTTTTTTTCTTATTTCCCGCACAGCACTCGTAAGCCATTACTAATGCAGATAATTACAGTTTTAATGTGTGCCATGCATTCCACGGAGCAAGCTCTAAAGGCAAATTAATGAAAGTTATCGACGGCGTGTATTCAGGCAATCTCAGCCTTGTCTCTGTGTGAATGGCAACTTTTTAATGGATCCCCCAAATTGAGGCAAAGTTTTCAGAGAGAGCCTCCGCCAGAAACTTAATCCGCCCCGGAAAAGCTCTGGAGCCTGGACAAACATTTCAGGCATCCAAGTATCCGAGTATCCGTAGAGTCATCGACGTCCGCCTAGAAGCTGCTGCTTTCAATAAACAAATTTGTACGCAAATATTTTGGTACACAAATTTCTGCCAGGCTACTAAATATTTTGTGTAAAGTCGTTGAACATTCACAAAGATTGCAATAATGACAGTCGAGGCGAGGCGAGGCCTTCTGCTGCTGGAAGAGTCGCAGACGGGGTGGGCGTGGCTGGGTTTTTTGGGGGCGCCTCAAGGAGGCGCATCCAGGGCGTTGAATGTATGTGTGTGTGTGTGTAAACTGGAGCAAGAGGCGGCATACATTACGGATACGAAACGAGGCGCACGAACCTACGGAATGGAGCTATGGAGCTATGGAGTAGAGCGGAGCTGAGCGGGACAGACACACAAAAGTCAACATAAAATTTAATTAAAAACTTTGCAACAACTACAACGATGGGGTGTGCGCCGCCTTCGAAAATGAAACAACATAATGCAGCGCTGGCGGAAAACGTGAGGAAAACTGGCACGACGACGACTTGCCGGCGAATTTTGTATCTTTTCGCAACGGCAAATCGGAATTACCAGTCGCAAGTTGAGGCAGTCCAAGATGTGCACAGCCCGAAAAGGGGAGATATGAATTTATTTTGAATATTTTTACACATTCAGAAGCAAATAAGAGGTCGCCTGTATGAAAATGGTTACAAAAATCGAATCAAAGTTCGCTGAAATTTGCTACTTTTTAAGGTGTGATCAAAGTATGAATTAAAAAAAACGAAAATCTAAACTTTTCTTTCCGTGTGACGTCTCTTCCCGATTTCTATGCCAACGAACGAACTATGAACTTGGAGTTAGTTAAATTGGCCAAGAATATTGAGCGAAGGCTGGCCTAAAAAATATACTAAGCCAACTTGGAGTTAGGCAGATAAAAACCAGGCATCGCCTGAAATTTAAATAAATAAAATGGCTGAAAATAGCGATGGCAAGGCAGCAGTAGCGACAGCAGCAACTTCACGATTCCGATTCTGCTGCAAAAAAAGGAAAACCAATTACGAATTCAAATGAAATTCATGAAATTCCTGCCACTTTGTGCCGAACTTAAACCACGTCTTTGTAATATATATCACTTTGAAAGCCTCCCGAAAAATAAAAAAATAAAAAACCAGGAAGAAGCTGGCATAGTTTCGTAGGGCATGGCAGTATCTGTGTATCTGCGATACAACCGCCCCCATTGGAACTTCGAGACGTTCTCGAGGCATTTAAATTGCCGGCATGATTTGAAATACAAATTGAGCAAATTGGCAGGAAAAACTGTACAAAGTACCCTTCGACCGCAATGCCAAGTGAATTGAGGTAGGTGGATGTGTGTGATGCGGCATCTCGATGGCGATGCCATCGGGAATATTCGAATATTTCTCGGAAAAATACACTTAAAGTGTACGCTATCTCTCGATCCTGTTTAGTGAAGGTCCTGGAAATTGCTATTGATTTTCCTGCTTTATCTTGGCAGGCCGCGCGGAATATGAGTACACACAGATATCGCGTTACGCCCCGCCATAATTAAAATGTTAAAAATGTGGTCACGGAATCTTTGGAAGCCTTCGTCCTGGCTTTTAATGGGCGATGTCGTAAATGATATGGCGACCGCATTGAATTTCCAATGAATAGCGACCCACGAGGCAGGCTTCAGCGGTACGTTGTCACCTTGACAACGCAACCACTGGCGGAGCTCGTTAGCCAGCTTAGCTACAATTTATCTCCTGCAATTGGCGACCCTCCACCATCACCACTCAGCGAAAACGAAAACACCATCCAGTCTTCTGGCTGCCTAATCGCATTCAATTAACACACAACACAGAAAAACCATAGAAAGAGAAAAAAGAAAAAGAAAAAGAAAACTACAAGGAAATCGCAACTTCTGCCAAAGGCAAAGAAAACCTAAAATCGTAAGAGTAAGACGGTCCAAAGTGCATGGCAGAAAAGCAAATCCAATAAAGTTGTTATTGCTTTTGTTTCGGCTGGTCGAAAGGCGTTTATAAATTACTTAAAGCGCTTAAGGGGCCGGGCAAAAAAGAAAAACCCGCTGGCAGAGAATGAGCCAACAACAACTTGTGGCGTGACCGAACATTCGAACTTCCAAGCCAATCCCGGCAATATGTTCGCCGATTTTCCTATTGCCAACGACGTTTGGGCTGCTGAGCAGATTAAAGCGTATCGTGTAGCAGCAAATCCAAACCGCAAGCGGCCAACAAAAGGAGGAAAACTGTGGAAGTGGCAGGCTCTGGGAAAGCCTACCAATTGAATATCAATCAACTTTTGGGGCGTGTGCAGAGTGTGTGAGTGTGGCGGTACCAGTTCCCCACACTCCCTCTATGAAATCCCCCAACAAAAAGGAGCTGAAACAAAGGAGCCAACGAAGTGTATAGGTGTGGGTGTTAGCCAAGTGAAGTGGCCTTGCCCCCGCCCTCCCGTAATGGAATTAAAACTGGCAATTTCGGGCCAAATTGCTTGATAGGCTGTCTTGTCTTGCAAGTGTTATGGCTGCTGCACAGAAAAAAACGATAATCGGATTACTTTCATATTCAAAAAGTGCCTATATTTTAGGCTAGTTTTTATACATTTTTTAATTGATAACAAAAATCAGAGGGAGGCTTACCATTGAAGTTCTTTACAAAACTCTGGCTATTTACAAGCACTTTAAAATGTTTGTAAAAGATTTTTGATGGCAGAATACTGCTAAGTCTCTTACCAATTGTCTTTCAAAATAGTTCTTTATATACTATTTTGGCCATAAAGTTGAGATCTCTTTGATACATGTATGTAACTATTTCTTATAAAAATATATGTTACTACTTCTTACTAATGCTTAAATATTCTTCTACTTTAATAACCTTTTTCTAGCAGTGTCCTGAATCGCCTCCACATTGAAATTGTACAAGCGCGTCTAACCGAATTAGGGAACACAAATCAATTGCATTAAATGGCAGCTAGCGCGTGTCTTCGCCCCTTTTTCGGCTGCCAAACCATGTGTGGTTGGGATTCCACCGCACCACCACATACATTTCCCATTAGCAAAAATTTTAGCATACGAAATTGGTGTACACGTCTCGTATGCGCAATACTTGCAGGCTATATGCCAGAAACAATTGTGCTGGCCTGAACAGGCAGCCAAATAAATGCCGACGAACAGCTGCAAACGACTTATTTATGCCACAAAGAATTCGAGACCCATTCCAGCGTATCGTATGATATCCCTATTATGGCCTGCTTTCCAGGATTAAGTCTGCCTGAATCCTAATTTACACAGCTTCTGGGTATTTACCTCTTCTCTCTCGCCAGGATTGGGGAGTGCCGAAGCGGCGAATAAAACTTTTTGCCCAAATGAGAAGTCGAAAGGAATGCTTTTCGGCGAAAACTCTCAAGTATTTAAATTCGGCGGATTTTTACTTAGCTTTCTTCGTAGCTTTCCTTCGCTTTTGGCATTGCATGTGTTTATTTCATTTCTCATTTTCACAAACATTTTCCCACCCACACCCACACATACAGACATACATACATATACAACTAAAGACGCCACATGCCAAGTTCTACTTCATTTCATGTCGGCATTTGCACATTTTCTTTATTTTCTTGTTGTTGCCCATTTGGTGTGCGAGTGTGTTGGAGTGTATGAGTGTGTTGAAGGAAATTTTGTTATACTTTTGGTGTTTTGGAGGCGGCTCCTATTCCCTGCCTGCAGAATAACACCAGAAAAAAAAGGAAAGTGCGACTTGGCAGCCACCGCAAAACAATGAAAATTGGTTTTGTTACTTTGCTTACTTTCGCAGACTCTCTTCTTGGCTAAGACCCGTTCTGCGGTTGAGCCCTTGGCGGTGGCTTTTTATTGCCCGCCTTGTTATTGTTGCTGTATTTATTTGGCAACTGGTTTGGGGGTATAAGTATGGGAGTATGGGAGTATGGCGGTGCCAGAAAGCCACCCAGTCACCCAATCAGCCATCCAGCCAGCTCACATCCCGAAGCTTCTGCTGTTGATGGCGTTGAGTATTATCGCATAAAATCCAAAATGTAAACACTGGCACAAGTCGAGTCCTTGCAGCACGTACACGTTTATATTCTAAGCGACATTCCCTGCCAATTTGAATATTTCACTGCGGAACAGCTCCCATAAGAATCCCATAATATGCTGCAAATTATTACCTGGGCCAAAACACCACTGGAACCTCGGGAACTCACGTGATGGTCGATCGTTTCCAAGTTTATTTTTATCCTTAAAGTTTACACTGCTTATATCTTGTTAGCTTGGTTTAGTTTATCCACTGATCTTTTTTTATTTTTCAATTAGTTAGTTGCAGTCAGACAACTGCTTTGAGTTAGAACACTGCACAAGTAACCATAATCCTGTGGATAGAATCCTTTTTTACTTTTTTGCTTGCTGGCACAGCTGATGTCCTGCTGGGGCCTTAGCTTCGAATTCAGGACTTTTCTGCTCCTGCTAAATGGAACTAGAATGACAGTAGAAATCGAGTCGCGCGCGTTTCGTGTCAACAGCGTCGAAGGGTTCACTTTCAACTGAAACACTGCTGGCCGTTCGCCGTCGTTTCTCAGCGCCCTGTATTCGGCTTCGGGTCAGCACTTCGTTTAAGTTCGGCTTGCTTCGGCTACGCCTACGAGGGCAGCCGACTGTTCGAGAGAGAGGTCGTTGCTCAGAGAGCAAAATGGTCTGAGCTCTCTCCCAGTTCGCCGCAGGACAACTGTGCCACGGCGAATTGGGCTCTACCAACTCAAGTTGTTAGACTCGGTTTTCCTGGCTTGGCTTTGAGCATTAAATATAATTAACTGTTTTGTTTACAAAAGATAAAATCAAAGCAAAATTTTAGATAAAAATATTGCTGAATAGGTTGTAATTTTTATTCATGTTAACTTTTTTTTAAATATAAACATAAACTTATAAAGTTGCATTTAATGACTACATAAAAATTAAATAACCCAAATGTTCTACTTTGCAACCAACAATCTGGATTACGGATTATGATTCTCTCTAAACCTTTAATAAATTTCTTAAACTTACATTTACTTTTCTTTATTTTAGTAAACGCAATACAAACTTCATATTTTTTTTCCTAAAAATCATCACATTTCAGTTATAATCTTTTGATCATGTAAATGTCATCAAACAATGTTCACCTGTCGCTCGAATTTCTTAGAGTTCACCAGTCGCTCTCGCTGTCACTCACCTCTTCCTACAAGAGAGTTATGAGAGACTTTCCCCTGACACATATTTTCGCCCTGAAAGCGACTCCGAAAATTCTCTCCGAATTTTGTAGGGGTGACTGGCGACCTCAGAAAATGTTGCCGCATTGGAAATGCTTTAGCAACATTCGAATTAACATCAGCAACATTTCGAACATAGAGACAACAAATAGCGGCATGTCCTGCTAATTTCGGTGAGTGAAAGTTACGTAGAGCGTCCCCAAGTGTAACGCTGTCACTTTTCACATTAAGAAAAGCTAGGAAAATCAAGTTATCGAGGCGTGACCACCAAAGGCAGGCTCGCGTGTAATTAAAACTAAACACGAGGAACTACATCAACATTTGCACCAGAGCATAGGATAGGATAGGGGCAACCACCAACCACGGGTCATCCGGATAACAGTAAAAAGCGAGTCAGCAGTTTGTCCAGCGGAAAACAAAGGGAAAAACCCAACCGGGTGACTGCACGGGCATTACGCTGATGACGAAACCGAATATGGAAGTCCATAAGTCAGGATTAAAAACGGCGGCGGCGTTGGCAGCAGCGGCGGTGGCGTCGCTGGACACGCAAAATATGGCGACAACAACCTGGTCAAAAGGAACTTATGTACAGGACTCCGACGAGCGAGAGATGTCCTGAAATTAATTTGAATATTTCCCAACGCAACCCCGCCGCCGCTTTCGTTTTGGCCTTTTGTCTTTTGCTTTTATTTCAGTTTTTGTTTCAGTTTCCGCTCTTGTAGCAACGGGGCTTTTGACTTCATTACAAGTAATGGCGGAATCTGGCTGAAAAGTGAAAAACAGGAATCTGTCCGCGCTCTGTCCCCCATCTCCGGCGAACTGTCAGGCAACGCAACGGTTATAAAATTCCAAAATATGCACATAAAGACATAATCCTCCTCCACCGTCGACCATTTTTCCGGGAAATGGAAATAGAAACAACTGCCGAGTCAACGGTCAACAGGCGGCGGCAACGTTGGGTCAGTCAGTTTCAATTTATTGGGCGCGCTTGAAAATAAATTTGTTTTTCGAAAATGCGAACATCAAGCACAGCAGCATGCCGTGGGCAGTGGAAAATGGTGAGGGGGAAAAACAGGTGAACTGGGGTGCGGAATAAGGTATATGGGACCAACTTCTCTCAGGGGTCCGTCCACACAAATGAAAAACGATTACGCAATCTGGCTCGTGTCTACTAAAACAAGTGAAACAAGCCGGGGCGGTCAGCGTGAAATGAGCTAAGTTTAAACGCATTTACCTAAAAAGAAAGCTTCCATCCTTCGGGCATTTTAAAGTTTTTGCATTTCCCATTAAATTTAACAATGCGATTGCTTTTCATTTGATTTCAATATTGACATCAATCAGAAACGATTAAATTCAATTGGAAACGTTTTAATTACTTAATCTTTTGTTTTCCATTTCTTGTCATTTGTCCCAGGAACTTTATTTGGCCATAAAAGCTTCAGCTCTCTGCTTCGTTTATTATTAATATTTCCTTAATTAGTTCACAAGTAAGCCGATTAAAAACTAATCAGGTTATTTTGTAAATGAAGAAAATGGTACTCTCTCTCTTTCCGGGAATGTGAAAACAAAGAGATAAATATAAGAGGTATTTAGAATTTTCCAAACTTACTTTAAAATTGTAATTAAGGATTTTACATTACTATAAAATATTCTGATTTTCCCACAAATGTTATTAATTATTATTATTTTTGAGACAACATTTAATTTATCTTTTGCAAATTTATGGCATTTAAGATTAGAATTTGGTTTTATTACGCATCTGTCGCAGCTCCTCCCATTTATGCAACCTTACAGCTCTTGCAACATTCCTCAATTAGTTGCAGACACACGATTCGCTTCAGGTTTTGGCGAAAATTCAATATTGAACATTAAGATTGGTCACCTGAGTGCAGGATTGGTTGTGTGTGTGTGTGTGTGTGTGTGTACAGCGTACAGCATTGGGAGTGGATGACGGTGCACTCAGCTGCCGCCGGACAGGCCAAGCGGATTACGATTCGGATTCGATTTACTTTGCCGTCGCCAGGAAGTCACAATGCGGGTGCGTTACAAACAGGCAACAGTTGAGGGCGATTGGGAAATCTGGGTGGGGTGTGGGTTTGGGTGTTGCTCGCTGGGGGTACTTGCACTGGCGGACCTACAAACAAACAAACAAATAAACAAGCGGCTGGCAAACAGGCCGCGCCGTGATTGCAGGACATTTGCGCAAAAAGGCAAAACAATTGAATTGAATTGACAACAACGTTGGGGTTGGGGTACATAGAGGTGGTGCTGCCGCTTGAGGGCCGCTCAGTCGACCGGTAATGGTGTTGATAGCATTAAGCATGCCTCAACGAAGTCCAGCCAGGATATGCGTACAGGCATGATTCCACCAATGGCCAATCTGTTCAAGACCCTTAGCTATATCCTACACTTAACGAAAAAAGAATCGTTAAGATATTAGGTCCCGTAAAGAAAAGAAACTACTTGATAAACATTTAAGTTTCAGATTGCAGGATAAAGCAGTTTCACTTTTTAATTAAATAAATTAATTTTCTCTTAATTTCCGAAAAACTTAGAGGGACTTTTCTTAGAGTGTATCTGCTGTGCCGTGTGTTGTTTTCACTGCACTTCAATGCTTTTTGCAATGTAAACAGCCGCCGCAGACGCCGCCCTCGGCCTTCCACCGCCACTTGCACATATTTTCACATTTCCCATTTCCCTTCCCTTCCCTTTCCAATTTTTTTCCTTTTTTTGGTTTTTGTTGTTGCATTGTTTATTTGCTTTACTGTGGTTACTTTTGCTGTTTTTCCGTTTTTTTTTACCACAGTTTTGTTCCCCAGCCAGCTGGTGTTTGTTGTTGTTTGTGTGCTGGCAAATTAGTTGAATTTGGGAAGAGCCTGGCCAAAAGGGTGTGTGTGTGTGTGGAGGCTGTTGAAAGTTTTTGTTTGACACTTTCTGGCATAAGCCTCGACCACATGCGACATGCAACAGAAACAGCAGCAGCAGCAGGAGTAGGAGCAGGAAAAGCAGCATCGACAAGGACAACAACCGACAGGACAGGAGTCTGGTACTACTCGCACTTAAATGTCCTTCGTTGAGCCTGCTCCTGCAGCACTTAATCCGCTTAAACGTTAAAAGTGCTAATAGTTTTTCATGTTGCAACCCTGACTTCTTTATGCCAAATGTATAAAAGGAGGCGGTCCACAGGGGAAAAACCCACCACCATCACCAGGAAAAACAACATTTACATTGGATGGAGAGGAGAGAGGGGTTGAAAGGTGTTAAAAGGCAATAATTTATATGCTTAGAATTGTCATTTGTAGATGTTTTGTGTATTTGTGTGCAGGACCCGTCTGTCCTGTGCCAGGATTCATCTGTTTATTTGCCTTCCTCTCAGTGCGGTGGTAATTGCAATTTTGTTTTGAGGTTTAACCCTCCTTTAATGGCAAATAATTGCACCCTGCTTTTTTAACACTCCACCGACTGCGGCAATAATGCTTGGCTAATTCGCAGATCAATTAAAGATATTCTCCTCTCTCGTCATTAATCAAAAGTGGATCCAATAAAATCGCATCTGTGCGAAACGCCCACTATTCCCCTAGAATCCTCAATCCTCCAAACGGGCGGAAATGTCCTGCATCAATTAAAGGCAACGAACCGTTTCGATTGGAATGTTATTGTAATGGGTTTTCCCTCCCCTTCCTCCCTAGCTAAATTATTAACCAAACATGATTGCAAGCGGAACTATGAATTAATACTTAATAAGACTAAAGTTTCTCGAAGGAGCCCAAAAGGACATGCAAAAATGCATTAGCATCGATTTATGACATGTGTGTGTGGGTGGGTGACCCCCTGAATCTCATTTCCGGCGGGCGTGGCCCAAAATCATTTCGACAATATTGCCATATTACACTATTCATATTTTAGTACTGGACCAAAAATCAACGACTGACCTAGGATTCCTAGGAGGCAGCATTTCCCCTCCCATCGAACGAACGAGGAAGGACGTCGGTCGGATGTCCTGCCGCGCATTGAGCCATTCCAAGCTGCCTTATTATTTATGATAATGTCTGGCCATTCGTTTGGTTTATTGTGCTAATGTGCCGCAATTAAGATTAAGAAGACGACTTTTCCCGGTTTTCCACCACAGACTACGTGCCTGTGTGCCTATGTGATTTTGTGTGGGTCGTGCGAGGGAGCCACCTATGGAAAGCAGGACTTTGATTCAACCCAGAAGGGGAATTATAAATGATTTTGAAACTATAAATCTAGGCCTGCATAATAAGTGTCATTCTTAGTTAAAGAAA